AATGCACAAAAGCTAAATGTTGTCAACTATAGTCCTTACAAATGGAACACTTCGAGCATCCAATACCATAGCACCTGTAACAGCTGGCGGAAGATCTAATATAGTCTCAAAGATCCTATCTGATCGCAAATAAAGCACAGCTAATCTATCCGCAACTGAATTAGCCTCGCGAAAGATATGCACCACTGATGTTGAGAAATACATTAATAACCTCCGTATCTTCTTTAACACCGTACATAAAGGCCATTTAGCTACTTCTCTTGACAAGAGCAGACTAACGAGCACCCGAGAATCCACCTCAACCTGCGAAGGTTGAACCCCTCTCTCCTTACACAATTGTAGACCATACAATAACGAATAAGCTTCTACCCAAAGTACATCACACTCACCAAACTCTTTGTAGCAAGTAAAAATCAATTTTCCTTCATTAGTCCTGACCAAACTTCCCCCAGAGGCACGTTCCTGACAAACACTCGCATCCGAGTTAAGTTTGACGTGTCCCAATGGAGGCTTCCCCCAAGCGATCGCAACATGTTGAACCTTCTTGGCTAACATAGTAGCAAACTGAAATAACACATAGTCCCTATCCCCTTTAAAATGTTGTGCTTTCAACATCCTCAAAGTGCCCAATAGCTCCATAAACTGGTCCACCTGACGGATAACCCTCCCTGACTCACAAGGAACACCCCTAAACTGAGTATCATTCCTTTCTAACCATAGACACCAGCAAATAACTATTGGAAAAAATACTCTTATATGATTTTTAGAGGCCAAAGGAGTTGAGTGTAGCCATGTTAAGAAGACTGAGGACAAACTCCCACAGCCATCCATGCTCACCCCAAATTTATTAGCAAAATGAGACCAAACCTCCACTATTACCGGCCCAGACAAAAAAAGATGTAGCACCGTCTCTTCTGCATTGCAACAACAATAGCATTTTGATGGAAGACAAACTCCACGTCTCTGAAGATTAGCATCAACTAGAAGATAATTTCGAATTGCTCTCCAAGCAAGAAATGATAGTTTCAACGGTAAAGTAGAAGACCATAATAATGAGTCGACCACTGAAACATTCCTCCGGTGTCGTATGCACTCCCATATAGATGTAATAGTGAAAGAACCCGAATTAGAAGAAAGCCATACGAACTCATCTTTTACCGAACTATGGAAGTATACTTCCTCAATTGCTCGAACCACATGATTTGGCACCCATCGCAACAGTTTATCCTCATTCCAAGCATCCCCTTCATAAAATTCAGCTACCAAAAAATGTGTCAGCTGTTCCATTCCCAAGTACATAGCCAACGGTTCGTCAAATAACCATCTATCCCACCAGAAATCCACCATCCCCTCATCCAACACCCATCATATATTCCTCTCTGCCAGCTCTCGAACCTCTTCTAGCCTACGCCAAATAGCTGACGGATGAGTCTAGGACACTAGTGCCAGATGTTGACTTCTAACATACTTTTCATGCATAAAGGACACCCAAAAAGAATTATTGCAATGTAGTCTCCACCATAGCTTACATGCAAACGCTTTCGCCATATCCCCAAAGAAACAAAATCCTAGACCCCCTTCCTCTCTTGGAAAACATAACTTGTCCTAAGTAGTCCAATGATTCTTCAATTCTCCAACCCTTGATCCCACAAGAAGCCATTACACAACTTACCCAACTTAACCAAGACAGACTGAGGTGGGTTCAACACCTGTAACAAATACATTGGAATAAACGCTAACACATGGCACAACAAGATCAATTTTCCCCCCATGGACAACATTTTTGTGCTCCAATGTAGTAACTTACTGCGCATCTTTGCCAATAACCCATCAAATAGTACCCCTCTCGGTCGACCTCGATATATTGGAGCTCCCAGATAAGTAAATGGAAATGCTTGGAATCGAAATCCCAACATCGATGAAACCAACTGTCGCTGTTCCTCTGTGGCATGTGAGGAAATAAAAAAGGTGCTCTTGTGAACATTCACCTTTTAACCCGAATATGCCTGGTATGTTTTGAAGAATTCTTTGATCGTTGCTAAACACTCCAGAGAAGCCCGAGTAAAGACCATAATATCATCAGTAGAGGTGGCAATTTGTGCCAAATCCCAATGGGTTACCCATGCCCATGGGGACTTTGGGCGGGTTGGGTACTGGAATTTGATATTGGGTTTAAAATTAGACAAATCCCAATTATACCCATTAATTGATGGAAAATTTTGGAAAATACTTGGATACCCATTGGGCTCAAATAGCAAGGGCTCCGTTTGGATTAACTGTTTTTTAGGGTATTTTTGAAATATTTTATTGTAGCAGTGTCTATGAAAAATTTTTACTATAATTTTTTTTTTGAAATATTTGATATACTAATGTGGCTGGGATGTTTTTTGAGTTATTGTATATTACTGTAATATTGTATTTGAAAATTTTATTTTTTGAAAAAATAGTCAATCCAAACAGAGTCTTAGATTCATAAATTATCTTTAACAATTTTTATAGTCATACCAACGAATATAATCTAGCAGTCTTCCTAATCATTAACCACAAGAATTTCCAGCATTTCAGTCAATTTAGACCTGTCATCCTTGGACAATGATGAGGATAAATATTCAACACCCTAAGTGCTTTGGCCATCTTAATATATATTGGAATATGACTGTATATCTATTTTTTCCTTTATTTGTTAATCCAAATTTTGGTGGGAATCCTGAGTATAAAGCACTTGCATGTTTATTTAATAAAACTAAAAGAAATTTAATAAATCAAAAATATTAAAGTTATATAAAAAATAAAAAATGAATTAAAGGAAAAAAAATATGTAGAAAATAGATTTGGGTATTGGGCGGGATCAATCTAAACCCATCCCAAAGTAATCCCGCCCAAATTAGTCCCAAAACACATATGGGTAAGGTTGGGACTAAACCCATATGACTCGGTTCCATCTCAAATCCAAGTAAATCCCGTCCATCCCGTCCATTTTGCCTCCTCTACGTGGGTCGAAGCAAGCTAGCCACTTGAAGGACTTCCTCCTTTTAACTTTTTACCGCGGCGAATTTCTTAGAATATTGCTAAAATAAAAAATCATCCAAAAAGTGGTGTGATTTGAGGGGTTATTCCGATTTAAGGATCGCTGCAACTATGAAATGAGGCTGCCAATAAAAGTAATATTAATTTATATTTATTTTTGCTGCCTTCATTTTTGTCAATTTTCTGCCCCTTTTTTTTTTTCAATGTTTCGCGGCTCATCAGATGAGCGGCGGAGCAAGTATACTTTCCGCAAAATTCTTCCATGTGCAGTTTTTGACTTTTTGTTCCTTTGCAGCATGTGTACTTTTTTCATGTGCACTTTTTTGGTCATTTGCTAGGTGCACTTTTTGTCATGACGACGCAAATTTCATTTGCGACGTCTATTTGTTTTCAATTTTTTATTTTCCTTCCACCGCAAATGTTGTCAATTTTTCTTTTAGTCGTGCACCATTGATCACAAACGGACGCAGATTGCGGCCAAAATTTTTTTAGTGAAAAAAAAATTTTATAATGAAAAAAATATTTTAGTGAAAAAGTAATTTTTTAAGTAAAGCCGCAAATGGAAATTGTGGCAATAGTTTTCCTCCCATCCTTGCCTCTAATTATTTTTTAATAAAAAAGCGCTCAACCTCTTATTTTTTTTATAAAAAATTTATAAAAAAACGGCCAACTAAAGCCGCAATTTGAAAAAAAAATGTTAGTTTTTCTAATATTAAAATTAAAATAAAAACACATGAGCGGCGATGGAAAATATTGCAAAATTAAAAAAAAAAGTTAAGTTTACCAAAAGTGCTTTAGGACTCAAAAGCTTTTCTAATAGGATAGGACTAAGGCCTTTTTTTGGTCTTTTGTTTGAGAGATGTCAACCTGACTCGGAGTAGCAGAAGGCTTTTTTTATATGGAGATAATTTGTCAACCACCAAATCAATCTTCTAAAGAAACCCCAACATGCCAGAATTGTGACTCCTTTGCTTGTACTTTGGTTCACTTGGTCTGAGAGGAATGCAGCCAGATTTCAAGGTTCTGACTTTGCTGTTGGTACCATTATTTTTCGTGTAGAGCAGTGCGGGTCAAAGGATGAATTCCTTCGCCGCTCATGAAATGAGGGGCGAAGCTTTTGCCCAAAAATAAAAAAATAAAGTAACCGAAAATAAATGAAAATTAAAAGTATTTTTATTAGAAACCGCATGTCAATGATGCGGCGACCCTTAATTCAGAACCCATCCTCCAAGAGCATCAATTGTTTGAAAATTTTCAATTTTGACAATATTTTGAGAAATTCACCCAAGATAAAGGGAAGAACTAAATAAGAGGACATTAAAAATTTTTAAAAATGTAATTGTATTTTTTTTTTAAAGAAAATTTGCTTATCAGCAATCGGTGAATAACAAAATGAATTAAATCAAAGAATAACTCAAAAACACTCGTCTTGACGTGATGGTGGATAACTAAAAATGTTGACTCCAATTTAGCTAAAATTTAGATATAAAGTGGGAAGAATTTGTGCATTTATATTTTACCAAACGATTTTATTCAAATGGTTGAAGCCTTAATTCAATATGCAAAAGGAAAAAGAATTACATAAGCCATTTAATAATTTGAAATATAGAATATAACCACACAAAAACTCCTTAAATTCTTGAAGAACTAAATAAGCTAGGTACCTTTAGTTTTTTTTTTTTAAAAAAAAAAAATTAACACATTTCTTTCTCCTTCAATACAAGCTATCTTCAATTTGAGAACTTTAAGACACGGATACTTTGGGATACTGAAAACATGTAATCAACACATTAAAAGAAAAGGCCAATTTTCCTGTTCTTTGCATGACTAAAAAGACAAAACCAACAAACATAATTTACCTTGCAGTGAAATTACTAATTGAAAATTAGAATGTAAATTGCATAATATAGCAATTACCCAGTATTAGTATAAAGTATTTTTTAGCAACCTGCTAGCAATAGTTTCAATTACTATTTTTTAGCGTAAAAATACTTCTTTATTGATCGGCAAGAAAGCTCACACAAGCACGAAGCTGCCTTGCAAGTACATTTCAATTTACTATTTAGGCTTCAACCATGTAAAACTAAATTCTCCTGTTACCTTGTTTGCCATAGCCTAGTCAAGATTCATAACCTTCTCCACTCAATTTTTGCAAATGATGCTGAAGTTTCTGAATTTCCCGGGTGGAAATGCAGACTAAAAAGAGGATATCAATGTTTTTTTCCATCCTACAACTAATCTCGTCTCATGTTAAAAGATTACCTTGAAAGTACAAACCGATTAAGACAAAAATCAGAATTAAAGTTGCATATGGATGTCCCTTAAAGCCAGATGATTTTGACCTGGACAAGAAAGAAGAAAGAAGTATCAACCATCAGCAGTTTCCAGCACATATATTCTATCAAATTGAACAAGTTTCCATCACATAACAGCCATCAAAAGCCCAAAAGTTGTGTCATTGAATTCCATACTAAAAACCCACAATAGAAATAAGGCTCAGATAAGTTCTCGGCCTAAATGGGAGTAAGTGAACATAAAATAAGCAAAATATGAGGCAGGTATGTGGATGAAGCCAAAGAGCTACGAAATGCTGCTCAAAGACCAAAGATGCAAACAAAAAGAAGCAGTCAGACCTTAACTGAATCATCAGGATTTAATCAATATAGTTTACCTAAAGTGCAAAAGATTTATATTCTACTAGCTGAGGCAAGGTATTCATACCTTGACACTATGGACTGGTGAGTTGTGAGTCCAAATCCAAAAGGGAAAAGTGGATCATAATGGGAATCTCCCACGTTCATTGGAAGTTGGTCAATAGTTCTGAACCAGGTTCTTGGAAGTTTTCCAGTGAACTCATAATCCCCAAAGAGGACATCAGTCACACCTTGACCTTCGGTGCCAGGTAACCAGGCTGCAACCAGTGCATCAATTGAAGAAATATATGGTTCAATCACTATAGGTCGACCAGATACAATGATAACAACACACTTGATGACCCCACAAACATTGATTATCACAGCTGGACCAGGATCTAAAATTGTAAGAGTTTGACTGTCTCCTGCACTCTCTGTGTAAGGAGGTTCTCCGACAACAACAATAGCATAATCGAAGTTGTTGGACTTTACATACTGACTATCAGGATTTTCAAGGTACTCAAGTTCTGTCTCCTTATCAACTGTAGAGTTAATTGCAGCAAGGATTGTTGTTCCTGGAGAATGCAAAAGAGCTATCACTGAATGTACAGCAACTCGTATATAACTAATAGCCTCACTTTAAACCATTATTATATCAGAAATCTGGAACATAATCTTAACTAATGTAATGTGAACTGCATTTCTGACAATTGTCATTGGATATGAGTACAGTATTGTGCGTTGAGGATCTCATTTCAAACAATTTCTAGCCTCCAGTGGTACTGCATAGAGAAGACAATAGGAGCTTGGCTCACTTAAGTACTCAAACATTCTCATGGACTCTCTTTTAAGGACTGTGTCAAAAGCAGGTCCAATCTGCTTCAAGGAGTGACTACAACTATGGAGTAAATGAAACAGAAAACAAAATTGGTGGACATGGAGATTTTTCCTTTTTCTCGGGGGATGAGGGAAGGAGGAAGGAGAGGGGGAAAGTAAAACGGAAACATTAGGAGGTCTTTGAAATTGGATTCACACAGTAGCTTTAGCACTTCCTTGGTGAAACCTTCCTCCAGTTCGAATTAAAACTGATGTCCTTTTAATAGGTTTGTAGCAAATGGAAGTTCAAACACTAAGGACCTCTCTTAAAACACCATGGTTTATAGATAGCAGTTGCACATACCTCTTGTGTAATTATTGCCACTAAATCCTTGCCAGCTTATTGTCCATCCACCACATTGGTAACCCAAGTTATCTGCATGGCTACCAGCAACTAAAATTTTTGATGCTTTCTTGGCAAGAGGAATTAAAGGATCAGTCTCATTTTTCCCATTCTTAAGCAGAACAAGAGATTTTCTAACAGCTTCCCTTGCCAAATTTCTGTGCTCCTGTTAAAACCAAAGCATATTCAGTCAGGCTTATAGATGATTCAAACTGTGACACTTTTGGGAAGCAAACAAGAAGTTAAAAGGTGAGATGCTTTTCTGGATGGAAATGTGTTAAAAGGAATAAAAACTTGGACTTGACAGCTGATGAGAGCTTCACTGCAGAGATGTTTTAAAATTTTAGATTAGTTATTTCTGGATTGTAAAGTTAGTTCTGCCTGAATTAATAAATGTCTTTGAAGGCAGAAAGCTTGAAACCTTTGTAAATCTACAGAGAAGGGGAAAGCACAAAGCACAAGACATTGGATGTGCTTAGAGAAAAAAGATTGTCGTACCTGTTTCCCAACTTCATTGGTTAAACTAAGATCAGCAAGGGGATCCTCAAAGAGTCCCAAGGTAAACTTTACCAGTAAAATCCTCTCTACAGCATCATCAATGCGATCCATTGGTATAAATTTGTTCTTCACCAGGTGAGTGAGATCATCAATGAACTCAGTATAATTAAAAGGGATCATAACCTGTAAAAGATGAATGCAGCGCATACCCCAGTTTTAATGGAATGCTAGAGTTTATATATAGTTATTGACCAATTTGGTCTCTACATGACATCTGAAAAGAAAGAGGTGCTTACCATGTCAACGCCTGCCAATATACTAGCCTCAACAGAGTAGGTGTAATTTGCATGTGGTGGTGAAGTGATCCTGTCAATGCCTTCCCAATCTGAGATGACGAAACCCTGGTGACTCATTAAAAGCAATCAGTGAAGTGAAGCTACCACAAAATTCTAAAGTTGGAAGTAAGAATCACACAGTGGAAGCTATAATCTTAGTAACTAATAGAAGATGATGTTTACAAAGCAAACAACAATAAAATGGGATAATCATGAATGTCAGTAATAAGAAGAACAAAGTAACAATGCTATCTTTAAAGATCACTCTGAAAGCACATCACTTAATTTTAAAACTATTTTCTATTTCATCCTACCAATGTGCACTCTTCCTTTCTATTTTATTAATTTCTCCCATCTTTTATTACTATTAAACTAATTCATTCAAATAGCTAAAGACAAAATCTAAGACCAAGTTTAATGAAAGAGAACAAAGTCACAGTTCTATAAGAAGTACAATCAGGCATTAGAAAATAATAGAATGAAGAACTACACTTGTGCAGACATAACAGGTTAAAATAGAGAGATTTAAGTTTCAACCAAATCAAAACACATCCAGTTTCATCTTTCAAATCTAGTTTGCCCAAAGAACAGCAATCTGAAAATGGCATATCTTAGTCATTATACACCTGACTCATCAATAACTCAAATACTTTCAACCATGTTTATCTCTTATAATATCTGCACCAAAATAACTATGAGTTGTACACAATATTTTACCAAAAACATCAATTTTATGTCCAACAACTATCATTACCTATTAAACCTGTCAAAACACTACAATTTCTACCAATAAAGAGCAACCGTCCACAGTGGTGCAACACCAAGCAACACACCATATTGCAAATCTAATACATGAATGTGTCAGTATTGCAGACACCCTTAATGCCCATATCCAATTAAATGTACTGCCACAGAGTTGAAACATTAAGACCTGCATCTCTACATCACTCAACTCAAGCAGGAAGAAACCTGTCACCCTACCAGAGACTGAACCACCACTATCTCAACCAACATAAAGGACAATTAAACATGTAAACAAGATTGAATTCAATGAATCAATTGAGCTAATTACATGCCAACTGTTATGTCTTCCATCAATGAGTTTAGGACCATGTTGATTTCTCAAGAGAAAGAGATGTAGGCAGAAAGAATTGGCGGAGTGCAGGTATACAGCTGTTCAGGACAGCATTTAAAGACAATGCAATCAAGTAAAAACAGATACTGTATTCTACTAGCAATTTCAAAAAATTTGCACATAGTCTGTAACTCTGTATATTCAACTCCAAGCACATTCTCACTAGTGTACATAACGGTTACTGCAAAGTTCATCATTTCTGTCTAACAAAATTGATAATCAATACATTCTACTAGCAATTTCAAAAAATTTGCACATAGTCTGTAACTCTGTATATTCAACTCCAAGCACATTCTCACTAGTGCACACAATGGTTACTGCAGAAGTTCATAAAAAAAAGGACACTAAACCAACTTAGGTTTTCTGTCAAACAAAATTGATAATAAATACTATAGTCAAGCCTGACCTTGAACTTGATTTTGTCCTTCAGAAAACCAGTAATCATATCACGGTTAGCATGCATCTTTTCACCATTCCAACTTGAGTAAGAGATCATGACTGTGGACACACCCTTGATAATGGAGTCATAATAGGCAGGCATATGGATGCTAAGCAACCCATGCCTGTCAATAAGGGTATTGTTCTCATTAATCCCCTTAGTAGTGCCACCATCACCAACAAAGTGCTTTGCACAAGCTGCTACCTTGTCCCTTGGGAGGGGGAGGGGGAGAGAGAGAGAGAGAGAGGAGAGAGATAAAGCACTAATTCAGACATAAGGGATGATAAAGGAGAAAAAGGTCTAAGAAAAGAATAATAGGGAAAGGTTTCATTTCACAAAGTTTTTCAAATCAATGGCTTTACCATGACACATTGCTTGACAAATAATGATTCTTTATTTATGCCTTAAAGGAGATGAAAACATGCGATAGGTCCCCATTAATTATCTGAAGAAAAGGTTTAGCTCCTTACTTTCCAGCAACATATGGGACACCCTTCCGAGAACCACTAGGAATTTCCCCTTGCAACCCAAGTATGATGTCTGTCATTTCTCGAATGATCTTGGGGTCCTCACTGTAGCTCTCATAGCATCTACCCCACCTTGGGTCTCGGCAAACCTGCACAAGCAATGTCACAAACAAGTAGATTCCTCATATGGAGATTAATAGAATGAAAAATCAAGATCTCTTCATAATACAAGTTGCTGTAAATGGTTCTCATTGCAACTGGAAATAAAAGTTTGAAATCTACTCAGCGACTTGGTATCACCCAGTGACTTACAGCTATGCAAGGAGCAAATACATAAGGTATCCCTGTAGCTCTAACTTCAAGAGCAGTTGCGTCACCAATCCTCCGCACTAGTTCAGGATCCCTGAAGTTGGAGTTTACTTCTTGTCAGAGCATATCAGTTAGATATGCATTTTTGCCATTAATTTCACAGTAACATAACAATTATAGAAGCAAAACATGTCAAATGATGACATCTGTCAGGCAAGAAATAATTCTACACTGCCATATATAACAATTAAAATTTTGAGCCAAAGAAACATGATAAGTGAAATTGGATATGCAGTTTCCTAGCCAATAGTTACCTGAAGGCATAGGCATGCGGCTTTTACCATTTAGTACCATATTAAGAAAACAAAATGATTTCATATCCAATTTTCCTTTCTTCTTATGCAAAGGATGGATGAATTTGTCAAACATTTTACTTGCCTTGCAGCACCAAGACCAATATTATGTGGAAAGATGGTGGCATTAAAGACATTGTTGTGTCCATGAACAGCATCAATCCCGTATATCATGGGTATTCCCAACCGCGTAGATAATGACCCCTTCTGAAAGTCATTCACCATGTTGACCCAATCTGCAGCACTAGCCTGTGGAAGTGGTGTACTTCCCCCACCACTTAAAACACTCCCTACATCAAATGAGTGATTCTCAGTCAATTTTAAGCCATTTGTTCATGTCAATAATCATTTCTAGCTATATTCTATGCTGGAAACAAAAAGATAAGTGAGCTAATTACATCCGTACCAACAACTCTGCAGATACAGCTGCAGACTCGTTTGTATAGACAAAAGAAAGCCCAAAACAGTCCGGACATAAGCATCTTCCAAACACTGATTTATGGTTGGCAATCCATTAAAACAAAAGCATGGGGTGCAGCAAGCTACAATTGAAGCAAAAAACGAGACACAGACATAATCTCCAGTCAATTACATAGCCTATCTTCAAATTTCTTTTACAACCAGATTCACCAACCCAATCATATGTATATATGAACATAATCACTCTTAAAATAGCCACAAGAAGTCTATTTTCCCAACGAGAAAGCTATCATCAACCAGTTGCTTCTCTTTAAGTACAACAGACAAATCCCTTGCAGATACTACCTCCATTTGAATTTCAACAGTAAAAGAGAAAATCACAATCTACCACAATCCTAAATTGTGCTTTGCAAGATTCTACCTCGAAAATCAAGAATTACAATTCCCTATAATCCATCCCTTTTCAAGAAATCAAAAGTCTAGTCCATTTTCAATCTTCATAGACACAAGTAGAAAAAATAACTACACCATAAACAAAGATTCCAGAAAATGCAACACTGAAACACATAATAGTAGTACACTACCAATGTAGTAATTTTTCATGACAGCAGGGGTGGCAACACTTCTATCAATCTGAACCATCTGACCAATTTTCTCCTCCAAAGTCATTCTACTCAGAAGATCCTTCGCTCTCACACCAACAGGCACCTTTGGGTCCTTGTATTTCATGTACTCTTCTCCCTCCACATTGCTGCTGCTCCACAGGATCAACACCAACAGCCCAACCCACAGCATCCCACCTCTTCCCCCAGTCATTTCTCAACCCCAGTAACAAGAAATGTAAAACCAAACAAAATCCACCAAGAAAATGGAAAAGAAATGAGTTTTCTCTCGAAGTTAGAATTGATTGGTCAAGCTACATTGATTTGCAGAGGAGTGAAAAGTTGGAAATTCTACTGCGTACTACTCTGTTCTTTGGTGATGGTTTTTGCTGTCGTTGAGTGGAGTGTGGGTCCCAGTAGTTCTGGGGCTGATTCCCTGAGAACATGGTTGGATCGAATATGAAAGGAAGTAGTGTGTTACTGTAGGTCACTTGCAATTTGTATCCCTTAAATAATATAAAACTGTTCTTTTTGTACCTTAAACTGTCTATAGCACTTTAATATTTCGTATTACTCCTCCAACCCCGGAATGTTTGTCACAGTTGTGCATTTTTATCTACAATTACTCATATGGCCCCTAATTTGCTACCTTTTCCTCTTGTATCCTTCAATAGTAAGTAATATATTCCTATATAGTAGTAATAGAGAAGAAAAGCCCCCCACGGGCAGCTCGGGCGGACTTCGCGTTCTTAGTTAAGGCGCCGGTCCTGGTTTCGATTCCGCGCTTGGGCTGCCTGGGATAATTTCTTGAGGATCGGTGGGGCCCGCTCTCCTCAGGGTTGGTAGGATTAGTCGGGGTGAGACCCGGACACCTTCCAACTGAAAAAAAAAAAAAAAAGTAATAGAGAAGAAAAGGATGTGGGGCTAAGCCACGCACGTACTTTTTTTTAGGGTGATATGGGAGGATGAAACCATTACATTTGAACTAGTTTTGGCATAATGACACTAATAACATGACAGGTTAAAAAACTCCTAAGCGTGTTTAGAGGTCTTTTGTGATAAACTTTCTTACCTTATCTCAGCATCAGGCTATGCTTGACTAAATGATCTACAAATTTGTTGCTCTCTCTCCATTGATGTTGCAGTTTACAATCCCATGACTTCTCGAGCTGGTTTCTAATTTCCAAAATGATGTCAAAATGTGGGCTTTCTTTCGTGCTCCTCTGTATCAACTCCAAACTTGTCTTAAGTTTGTTTCAACCACAAGTTTGAGTATCCCTTTATCCCATGCCAGTTTTAGTCCTATTAGAATTTCCCAAAGTTTTGCTACTGCATTAGTTGTAGAACCTGAGTTAACCAAGAAACCCCCTTTGTCAATAGCCTTTATGTACAGTAATAGAGGGGAATGGGATGTGGGGCCAAGGTTTTTTTTTTAACTTTGTCTTATCAATATCCACTTACTAGAGTGAACTGTGTAGACACTTCCCTTTGTTACTTTGCCTTTTTGTTATTTTGTGAAGCCACACACATACTTGTTTTAAATGTGCATAAAATTTAATAGGGACTCATAACAATGAATGATGTATATGGAGAAAAAATGAGAAAACGAGTAAGTTAAGTTTTATTAAATTTGATAACATGATATATAATTTGGAACATACCAAAAAAACAAAAAGACACTTATAATGGGATGGAGAGAGTACTCCTTGGATCTCTAAAAATTTATTATTTTTTGTAACTCACTCGTGTTATGTATAATTTTTTAATAGCCTCTATTGGATTCTTGTTCCACTATTGCCCTTTCTTAGCTAAAAAAAAAATATCTATTATGCGAATCTACCATATTAAAACTTTACAAATGATATCAACTTCTCCTCCTCTTCATTTCTCCAACTTCTTTATATTTTTTCTCCTCCATTCATAAGGCCTTCCTCTTCGAGGAGAGACCATCATTGATTTTGTTTTATTTTATTTTAAATAAAATCTCTCATAAATTTTATTAGTGAAAATTCTCCATTCTCTTAGGTGTTCCCTCTGAGAATTTTCTATTTTTTTCTTTTGTTGATTATATTTGAATTTATTTCGGATTTCGAATATTTTTGAGTCTTGAATGTATGTTGACGGATCGCTTCATCATTATTGGAATTTAAAATCATTGATTAGCACATCTAGTAATTGCAACATGCACAGAAAGAAATTGTAACAATTTATCTTGCTAGAAAAAAATTTAAAATTTTCTTGTATTTTTAGACCAATTTAAAAATTTTCAATTATTGTATTTGTTAAATTACAAATCTAATATATTATTTTTAGTGCATGTTTAACTTGTCATTAGGAGTAGTGATGTAAATTAAATCATACTAAATGGTTTCTAACTATTCATTAATGAAATTTACTTTTTATTTTAAAAAAAGACTTTACGAATGATATCAACTATAATGGACTTATCTAAAGAGAGCGACACACATAAAATCAACACTGTTGAAAATACCTTGCACCACTTGTTGGTGTTGGTATTTTGTGATTATTTATATTCATTCCAAAATTCAAACATTTTAATGGTCCTACAATACTTGATTCTTTGTTTGTTCAAATTAGCTTCTAAGAGTAAATTGAAAAGTGAAATATGCCAAAGAAGGTAAAGAGAAAATAGAAAGGTAAGGAATGTGACAAGTCAAACTTGATAGGCTAACATTTTAAATAAGATAAACAGAGTATCTATAATATGGAAAATTATTCTAATTAATCAAAAATCAATTAAAAATTCTATTTTTTTAATCAAAATAACTTGGAACTTCAGATTTTGCATTTTTTTCACTAATATTCAATTATTCATTTAAGCGTTGTAAGGTTTATTCCCATTTAAACCTAGCTACTAAAATGTATGGGCTTTCAAATAATTTGAGTAAGGAAAAATTGTACCAATTGTCCCTCACATATTAAAGATGTGAAAATTTAGTCCCTCAAAATGAAAAGGAACATTTTTAGTCCCTAAAATATAGAAAAATATAATCAATTTTAGTCCATGCTAATTTTTCTGTTCAAATTTTTTATGGATTCAATCACGTGAACACCACATGACCAATTTTTTAAGGTTAAATATGGCAATCACTTAGACGTTGACCAAAATTTAAGGGACCAAATGCTTTTCTCTTAGTTAAGCATGTTAGGGACCAACAGAAACCTCATCATTTACCAGAAATTCCTTTGAATCCAAACCAAACCCTAATTGCAAACCCAATGGCAAACGAAATCGACGAAAAGAAATCGGTGATTGAAAAAGATATACCTGAATAATGAGTGTAGAAGACAACACATGCATCTCAGATTATGGTACATATCTTTGAACCCTAGACTATGGAATTTGTCAATTGAATGAAGTTATGTTTTAATAGCATGAATAGAGTAACAATAATTGTGATTAGTACATGAAAGAAGTGTTATTATATGTTGGTTAGGTCTGTTAAAGTGGTTTTTATATCTGCTAGTAAATGTGGTCCCTATTGAGTGTTGTCATTTTGCATAAATAAATGCAGTGTCCTTTTTGCTGGGTCTTTTTCTCTATTATATTGGTTGATGACTATCGCCTAAATGGTTAGCAGGTAATAGTAATCCGTTTTCAATTAGGGTCTATTTTGGAGGTGAATTCACTGATTTGCCGATCAAAGAATATGTTGGGGGCAAGTCAAGGTTTTTGACTATTATAATCTATAAAAGTAGTCAATTTATACTTTAGATAGGGTAGCAAAAAGGCTAGGTTATCTAAGTTTTCTGCAAGCTAGTATTACTTAAGGCCAGGGAAGAATACGGAAGATGGGTTAGTTTATGTTTTGTTTGAAGATATTGCTCAAAACTTGGCTAGAGATGGAGTAAAATATGGGCTGGTTGATGTGTAGCTTGTACACCTTAACTCGTACTCCATAAGTGGTTGTGAACCTAATCCATTAATGCAAATATGATTGATATTGACGAAAACCAGCAGGGGTCTCCTAGTATGGAAGAAATAGTGCTGACTGACAGTCTTATAAGTCAATCTCAAGATGAGGGTGAAGTTGATGACAGAGGTACTATTGATTTTGGAGCTGATAGGCACAAGAATATGCCATATCCAAGTCCAAAGAATTGCATTTTACTGAACAACTAACAAAAACAAACTCAGAAGTGCTAAATGGTCTAGCTGGTGATCATAAAAGTGGAGCTCAATTAGGATGGGAGAATATAATTTATATTGGCAATTCAAGAAGGGAACAACATCAAGTAAAAGAGCATCAACCAAAGTAGCAAGTAAAATAGCACCAACCAAAATAGTAACTAGGAAGCAAGGGAGAAAGAAGAGAAGCAACAAGAACACATGTGCTAATGATAATGAGGAATCAAGTGCAGGTGAGGTGTTCATTGATAATGATTATGAGTTCAATGATGAGGAGCATAAAATGAAACAAGTTAGAGAAAGAAAATTTGAGTAGGCAAAAATTGTGAGCAACAGTTAGTCTACTAAGGGGACAAGCAACCAATCTGAAAAGATGAGAACTGAATTTGAAGAAAATGCTATTGGATCAGATGAATTTAAGAGTGGATGCAATTTAGAAGAAGGGAAAATGCAGCCAAGGAAGAGGATAAAGAATCGAAGGTTCAATCCCAAGACTAACATGCAAGATCCCAAATTTGAGAATATCTAAACATTTGTTTCAAAATACCTATTCATAAAGGAATGAAAGAGCCATGGTACGGCTCATGGAAGGAAAATCAAGTTCAACAAAAATGATGGCAAAAGGGCTACTGCTTATTGCAATGATTGCAGCTAGAAAGTTTTCACAGTAATTATGCCAGACAAAATGACATCTCAGGTCAAAAGCATGGAAGATGAACAAACACGTGAGAGAATTTTTGGGCATGGACTCTCATTTCTTCTCCCAACCCACTCTCATTTTTTTTTTCCTTATTTTTCTTCTCCTTTTTTTCATCTCTTTTTTCATCTTCTTCTTCTTCTTCTTCTTCCCTTCTCTCTTCTTCTCATTCTCTGGCTAGATCAAGCTTCTTACCAACGACCATAGCGGATGGCGACAGCGGAGCCACCGCTGGCACTTTTTTCAATCAAAAAATTTACCAAAATACACTTCTCCACTCAATTTTTCGCGTAGAATTCACAAAAACACATGGAAAGAGCTCAAAAGAGCAATTTACAGTCGAGTTTTATTATTATTTTTTAAATCACTCAAATCTTCACCAAAAATCATAAAATTTATACCAAAATACTCGTGATTTCTGTAATACAACTATGACCTTAAATGAACAGAAACAACAATAATATAACATATTGAAAGCTAAACAATCCCAAATAAAAAATCTATTTTTCATTGCCTTTCAAACTCAAAAAATTAACTAACCAAACATTTTCTGGCCATGAACTAGTTAATATCATCTATTTTAGCGAAAATTTATACAAAATTCACCAATTTAAATTCAAT